TGAAGCTACCACAGGTTCTTTTTCATGTTTGGAAGGAGAGGGTGAGGTGAGGGGTGCTCAGCTGCAACATGCAACTTCAACACTAGATATCACTACATTCTACACACTGTACCTTTAAGTTGAGTTGAGGTTAATCGAATAAAGTAATCATACATACATTAACCACACTAATTTATAATGTATTCACCCTAAATCACCATGATAGAAACATTTAAATGAAATGTGACCCATAACATTAAAGTCATAAAACATTTTCTGAGCATGTGGGATTTTTCTTGTCTTTCCCCACAGCGACAAGACTGGTTACCAAAGCCATGAGCCACTTCAAAAGGTGAGCAAGATTAAACAGTATCACAGTATTGTATTTTTTGATGTTGTGGTACATGTTCTTATTGAAACACCTAGGATTATGTGAGATATGTTTTAGCAGTTACATTTTATTCTTTCTTACTCTCATTTTCACTGGTTATCTCAGCTCAACCAGGACAAGAACGTGCAGGATGATGAAAATGAGAGAAAGTTTTTCAATCAGCACTCAGACAAGGTAAGATCTCATATGTCTTAAATGTATAATTTTAGCTCCGAAGTGTAATTATGATTAGCAGCCTTTTATCTAAATATTTCCATCTACCAGTTTAACCCACAGATTAAAGCTGCAGCACACATGGATGTTGATGTTGCTTTCACAGGCAGCTGTTTGCTAACATGTTAACTATGTGAAGTTCATAAGGCCTTATTATGTCAAACGTGTGATGCTCTGCTCATTGTGGTGTTTCTTTCTAGTATAATGAAGTGGATGCTGAGCAGCTCCAGAGGCTTCTAAATGGAAACATCCTGAAAGGTTTGGATTGAAAAAGAAAATCTAACAAGCTGCAGCACAAGAGCTCAATCGATATTAAAATATGTTGGAATAAATTAAAAAAATGTTTTTTGAGATTTCACATATGTACTGTTAGGTGTCTTTGCCTCTTAACCTGATTTTAACCTTACTTTTACTTTTTATGATATTTTGTGTCCTTGGGTGTCTCGAAAGTCACAGTGAANCCCTTTTGTTGATAGAAATCACATTAGCTTTGTCACCTTGACAGAGAGTTAAAAAGACATCAATCACTGGGAAGCTCAACAGTCAGGAATTTGTCCGCTTGTGGAAGAAGGTCATCACGTACAAGGTAAATGGATCCAAGTCCAGGTTGAAGTGATAGTTCACAAAAATATGAAAATTCTCTCATTATCTACTCACCACTATGCCGATGGAGGGGGATTTCAGGTAAACAGCATTGAAGCCAAATCCAATACAACTGAAGTAAATAGCGACCAAAAAAAACAACAGAAAAAAGACATAAAATGCCTCCATGCTGCTCCTCCATGTGTCTTCCAAGTGTCCCTATGCCCCGACATTCAAATTAATTTACATCATGTTTTTACTGTTACTTCAATTGGCTGCAAAGCTGTTTACCCCTGAAAACCACTTTATAGAGATCATGATTTTCTACAAAAGACGATTTATATCAGGTTGTTCATTCTACCTCTAAGATGTATCTAGATTTAGAGTTGATAATGAAGATTTGTCTGACTGGTGTTTCCTTCTTTTATCAGGACATTTTTTTCCGCACTGATGTTTCTCGAACAGGAACTCTATCACTGAGTGAGCTGAGGAATGCATTTCTAACTTCAGGTAGATTTATTCTTCTTGCGATAACTACATTCCAAAACAACAGAAAAAAGTTGGATTACCATTTTATTTCATATTAAGCTTTAAAATAGAGTTCATAAAAGAACAAGGGGGGCAGGGTTTGGATCAGGGTCTCAGATCATAGCTAATTACATTGTATCAATAATTGTCTCTGCACTCATAGTAAAAAAAACATACTATTTACCATTCACAAGCAAATTATGTTGTGAAATATATGTGATTATAAGTTACTACAGAAATAAAGTAAAATCTGGGACTTCTCCTTTAATCCTGCGTTTGTTTGTCAGGGATGAACATGAGTGATGACATGCTGAATTTAATGACTCTGCGCTATGGTGCCTCCTCTGGAAACATCACACTGGAGAGCTTCATCAGTCTCATCATTCGTTTGGACTGCATGCACAGTAAGTATATTCATGTTGGATATTTCTACAATAGATAACACTATACACGGAGTAACTGTACTTTTTTGGCTTCTAAATACGTACAAATATATATCTTGGGATTGTTTTACGATTTGTGTGTTGCTCAACAGAAATCTTCAAACAGCTGTCTGATGGAAAAGCCATGACTCTCAAAGAGTCAGAGGTATTATAACACGTTCTTCTTGTCACGATTTCATGGTTATAACTTTAAAAACGACCAAAATAATGTCTTTCACAGCACTGATAACCTGCTTCTCTCTCCTTTTCTCCAGTGGATGAATGTTTCCATGTACACTTAATCCTACAAGGGAGATGGCCTGTTAAATTCAACTGGGATAACAGAAGAGGATATTTTCAAAAGCTTATTTTCTTTTGCCGAACTGTTAAATTGAATAAAACATGTATTCCTCTGTGAATGAGACATTACAGAGTAAGAGCTGTAAGTTAAGGGCATTTTCTGTTTATTGCTACCATGAAAAAATAATACGTGTAATTAATGTTTTAACATAAAACTAATAAACTTTGTAGGGTTCATGAGACTGGGGGTTGAATCTTATGATCTTGTCTACATGTTAAGATAAAAGACTGAATCACTGCATCTCTTGTGTTCAATTCTGATGTTAATACATTGAGCTTTACACAATAAAAACATACAAACCCATTTTTAAAAAAGATGCAACAAATATTTCTGTGAGAATAGTTAAAATGTATCGTACGTCATCCTCTATAGCACCATGTTTCCCCCAAATTTAGATTTACTTTTATTTGTTGAAATTACACATTTCTTACAAAATATTTCTCAAAACAAAGACATTGTGTTTCTCTGTGGAAGTGCACCACAAAGTCAAGATGAAGAAGAAATGTCTCACTTCATGAGATTGTTCATGGCGGGACGTTTTTACACTATAAAAATGAAGCTCAGCGTGAGTTTAGTCAGAAGACTCAACCCCCATTCAATCAATGTTAAATCTCTCACTCATTCAATGCTTATTGATCAGCTGATTGTGGGCACTTCTAAATAATCAGATTCTGCCACAGTCTCTTCCCACCAATCACGTGGCTGCTGTCAGACTTGAAATCCCCTCTCCTCTCTTCCGCAGTCATCCTGCCATTCCCCAAGTGTGATAAAGCGTCACCATGGGGTAATCATCGCTGCCATGTACAAATTCGTGGATCCGCGTCCAAACAGAGACTGTAAATCGGCAGTTCCTCGTGCCTCAAAACGATTTTCTCCGTCTACCTCGAAAGAAAACAAGAACTCAACGCTGTCTTGTGTTAATCGGCGATCTAAATCTGAGATATGAAAGATACATATTTCATCAGTATAACAAAGCCTTTTCCAACAAAGCCACGCTGCATATAGTGTAATTCAATACACACCTGAATTGGTACGAATTACTTGCGATGAGGCTCTCAAAACATCTCCTGTAATTCCTGCGGCAGGTCCGAATTGCATTTAAATTCTCAAACCAGATCCCCTATCTGTGTCCTCAGCACATCGACAGGCCGCCAGGTGCATCAATTCAACATCTTTTCAATTTGAAATCATTTGAATCTGAAAGCGTTTATATACCAACTGCCAGTTTCTTCACATTTGCTGCATCCACAAGACCCTCATCCAGGTCAGTCTGTCCCAGGAGCTCGGTCCCATCCAGGATCCCACAAAACCGGGGGAAAAGAGATGAATTTCTGACCTGTCTGCTCCCCTGGTCCCTTTGCAGTGTGAATAGCCTCAGGAGCTTGGCTTCCTAAAGCAGACATAACCAACACTTCATAATCATCAATACATCCTTCACAGTGAAATCTGGGGCAATGGGATGGCCCGCTGGTAATACAGGAACTCTATATGGTTCCTGCAGAGCATGGAGGGGGGGAATGCCCGTGGTATCGACGGGATTCCAGTTGAGTTTTACAAAGAGTTCTGGAGTGAGATTGGCAAAGATGTTTTAACTGTTTAACGAGAGTTTCAAAGACATGTTGCTGCCGATAAGCTGCAGGAGGGCATTGATAACTCTCCTGCCCAAATAATGAGACCTACAAGAGATTGAGAACTGGCGTCCTGTGTCCTCTGCACAGACTACAAGATCCTGTCTAAAGCACTGACAAACTGCCTGAGAGAGGTGATAGATCAAGTGATCCACCAAGACCAGACCTACTGTGTGCCTTGTAGGTCTATCCTGGACAATGTGTCCTTAATTCAAGATATTTTGGACATCTCTAGTTTATTGGCCATAAAAAATGGTCTAATTTCTCTAGACCAGGAAAAAGCTTTTGACCGGGTTGAGCACCTTTACCTCTGGACGACTCTGGAGAGTTTCGGCCTCAACCCAGGTCTCATAGCTATAATCAAAGTTTTGTATCAGGACATTGAGAGTGTGCTAAAGATTAATGGAGGTCTGAGTGCACCTTTTAAAGTGCACAGGGCTGCTCTCTCTCTCAGGGATGCTGTATGCATTGTCGATTGAGCCCATGCTAAACCAGATATGAGCAAACATTGAAGGGGTGGGGATTTTAAATGAATTTAACAAAAGTCACATTTTATCAGTATATGCAGATGACATTATTGTCCTGGTCAAAACTTGGAAAGAAATTAAAGAACTGGAGAAAATTGTTATGAATTTCAGAACCATGTCAGCTTCCAGAGTGAACTGGGAGAAAAGCGAAACGCTGGCAGTTGGCAATTGGGAAGGGGGGCTACCCAGTCTACCGGGGGGTTGATGTGGAAAAGAGACGGTTTTAAATATCTTGGGGTATATATTGTCAATGAGGCCATAGTTCAGAAGAACTGGGAGGGGGTTTTAGAAAAGATACAAGGAAGACCCAACAAATGGAAATGGCTGAAGCCACAGTTATCCTTCAGAGGCAGAAAATTAATAATTAATAACCTGGTAGCTTTTGCTCTGTGGCATCGGCTCGCATGCATGGAACCACCAAAAGGATTGACACAAAAGCTACAAGCTATTTTAACAGATTTTTTTTGGGACAGGTTGCACTGGGTGCTCCAGAGTATATTGTTTTTGCCTAAGGAGGAGGGGGGGGGCAAGGTCTGGTACAGATTCAAAGCAGATTTTCAACATTCAGAATACAATTTGTACAAAAATACCTCTTAGGTCCACAGAAGGTTGTTTGGAGACAAGTGGCAAACAGCATACTGAGGAGGACAGCTGGTCTGGGGTTAGACACGACACTGTTTTTAAACCTGTGTGGATTATCTCCTTTTTATCAGTCACTTTGGAGTTTTTTTAAATGGAAGAGACTAGAGCTGCATAGGAGGAGCTGGAGATGCTGCAGGACTACAGCACTGGAACAGAGTTTCCTGATGACAGTGATCCGTTTCCAAAGCTAGGATTTGGATGGGCTCACAGGACCCTTTTTAAATAAAACAGACTCTAAACTCGTGGACTTGTACATAGCCAAAGGGAGAGCTGTGTATAAATATTGTGTTTAGCCTTAAACAAGCAAACTGGATGGGAGGACTCGCACTGTGTAGAGGAAAACATTAGAAATAGACTGCAATGTGAAACCAGTATGGAGGGTTTTATATAAACCTCCTTTAAAGAAAAGGACAAGCGACCTGCAAATGTCTGTTTTATGGAGAGGGAGAAACGATTTTTCACTGTTTTTATGATTGTAAAAGACTCGATAACCTTTTTAACACATTAGAAAATGTTTTTAGAATGTTTGATGAACAGTGGTCTAAGAGCGTCTTCATCCTAGGAGTTGGATATAATAAATCCGACTCCTGTAAGTGGCAACTATTAAATTGAATAATAGGAGAGGCCAAACTGTCCATCTACAGCAGCAGCAAGAACAAAGTAGAGGACAGGACAGGGCAGGAAGCACCTCTTGTTTTCATCTCAGTGAAAGCAAGAGTCTGGGTAGATTTTAGATATTTTAAAGCAATGAACAATATGGATGGGTTCAGAAAAAAGTGGTGTTATAATGACACAATATGTTGGGCGACCGAAGAAGATTTANTCTCTCTCTCTCTCTCTCTCTCTCTCTCTCTCTCTCTTTGCACAATGGTATTTATATCTTTGTCTGTCTGACCTGTCTATACCTGTCTACCTGGCATACAATTAAAATTGCAGGTTGAGAGTTGTGGCCTCAGGCATTTGCAGGTGTTATAAGAGCGAGAGCTTCTTCACTCATTCGTATTGATCGACCCGAACTGAACACTTTCTCTCTGTGGCTGCTGAGGTAAGAGTCAATGTCACTGACACTAAGGTAACTTGGTGTTGTCATTTCGAGTGTTTCTATTGAACAATTGTTGTTACACGGGAGACATTGAAAATAACTCCTACTGCGATTCTACGTTAAAACTATAAAAAAAAAAATAAAAAGTCTGGCTCATCAAGAATTTATTTTATGTTGTTGTTACAGAGGGGGAAAAGGATATTGACTCTGTAGGCTGTATTTTTCTATATTATGTTTTCTTGACTATGGTGCATGCTAAGGCTGGGAAATGCAGCTGCTAAATCATACTGTTTGGCACTGTGTCAACAACAACAGCAATTGTACTCTCAGTGCTTCTGCTGCTGGGGCTGTTGGCAGCATGTCAAGAAACTGAAAGTCAATGTATTTTTCTTGTCATGCTGTGATTCATCTAATCACAACGATGGACAAATGTTAGAGATCTAAATGTGTTTCTTTCCACTACAGTTTGAGGAACACTTTAGAAGTCTAAAGGGTTACTACTTACTTTGTTACACGTTATGGTAAATAAGCTGTCCAGATGAAACATATCATAAAGAAAAATTGGAACATCATTGAGAGTGATCATTCCTTACGGAAGGAGGCTGAGTGGCCGAGCATAGGTATGCCATCCATAAAGGGAATCTGAATTATCCTATGGCCAAACACTACTTTGAAGTAATCAGCTCTGATGGCAGGGGCAGGGACAAAATCAAACACCTTAAACACAGAGAGGCATACTGGATCCCTGCAAAAGCACCAGTTACCTTGGTCTCAATGAGGACTTGGACTTCTCATGTTTTTTATAATAGATCACATTGTCACCAGTTGATCATTCTGTGAGGTTCTTCAAACTTTTTTAAAATATTAATAATATCAAATTGGTTTCCTCATTGTAGATACCATATATTTTTATCGATTGAGTGCATTTGTAGTATTGTTTGTTATGTTGTTATGCTGCATTTTAAAGGTCCAGTGTGTAAGATTTAGGTGAAAAGGATCTATTGGCAGAAGTCTAAAGTAGAATAATCCTCATGATGTTTTCACTAGTTTGTGTCATCTAAATTGTATGAATTGTAGTTTTCTTTACACCAGAAAAGGCCCTTTATATTTAAATACTTTATATTTACATGGAGGGGACCCTCTCTACGGAGAATGCCAAAGGCTGCAACAGTTTCTTTATCATGTTTGGAAGGAGAGGGTGAGGGGTGAGGGGAGTTCAGCTGCACATCACAAAATTCTAAACACTGCACCTTTAATGTCTTTATGTCTACTGTGGACTCTGCCCTCATCTCTTTTCTTTTTGCACCATCCTTAACAACAATGGTGTTCTTCATGGCCAGCAGGGGAACTTCCTCAATGTTTTCTTCATCGTGCCATGCCCATAGAGCCCAGGAAAAATGCTTGAATGTGGGAGGACCTTGTCTCTTCCATTTTTATATATTATATTTATTGCACAAGGCCCCTAGAGGCCAAGTAAATATTGCATTTCTTCACCCTGCACACCTGTAGTGACTGCAAATAATTACTCTTTGTCTTAGTACTCTTTGTGTGTCAGTACATCCTGATGAATACATAAGCTGACACTCATCTGTGTATTTTAATGCCTCAAGCTCATTGAAAGACCTTTTGCATTTTTCAAAGCACTCAAAAGAAGCTTCTTTGTCTAAAGTTTGTTTTATGCCGAGATTATCTACAATCTTTTTTTCCTGAACAGAGCTCAACCGCTGCAGCAATGTCTGGCTCGGGAGTGTGTATGAACATCATCAATGCACGGCATCAGAACAATGGTCAAGGCACCATTACCAACCCCATGAAATTCTTGAACCAAGATTACGAGCAGTTGAAACAGTACTGCAACGCCAGACGAGTAAGGTTTATTGATGATTTGTTCCCTCCTGACCGGAGATCCATCGGCCAAGGGCTATTGAAGCCTTCTGATCTGGCCCGTGTGGTGTGGCAGAGACCAGCGGTGAGTGGTGTGGTAGCACTTGAGTGACAATTATTCAAGTTTATGGTTAAATAAACAAGAAGCCTGTTTGTTGTTCCACCTTTATGTTTATACAAAATAAACTTGAGTCAATTTGACACAGGAGCCATGCTCACAGTATCCCGTTTATTAAAATGCACAAGAGAGTATAGTATATACTTATACTTTCTGGTTAGAGCTGCAATACCACAATGTTTCTCACAGCTTAAAGCTATTTTTCACCATAGGGGAAAAAACAAGATGACACAAACACAGAGTGATCATTTATTTTTGTGGCACATTATCTAGCAAGCAGAAACAGGCCAACGTAGTGTAGTTACAAATTATTTGGACCTGCTTTGGTCTGTCACCTCCTGGTCTCTCTCCTGTTGAGTGTTTAACTTTGTCACTTGTTTATTGTTAGCTTGTGTTAGCTGTTGTGTAGCACAGAGTCCCACTGCCATTACTTTATTAAAATAACCACCGCTAATGGTTCAGTATCAAACAAATATGTGTAACACAAGGAGAGAGAGAAACCTGACAAGGCAGGCAATAGTTATATCATCTTGCAATATTAAAAACTTCAACAATAACATGTAAATAATTCCTCTGTTTCAGAAATTGGTTTCAAATCCATCTTTTGTTGTCGATGGGGTCTCCAGATTTGACTTCAGTCAAGGCGTGGTTGGTAGGAAACTTGCTTCATTCACGACAATAAATGAGTTGGTTTTAAAGCAATGTCATACAGAGATGCCCACACAGCCAAGTGGCACAATTGCATCATCATGAAATTGCAGAAAACAGCACACGTTGTACAGTAATATAACTCAGACTTCAAGCCCAAACAAGCCCAATATAGTTCAGTTTGAGACATGTTCACGCATGTTGTCACTGGCAACAAGTGCAGGTACCGTATGTGGCAAGCAAATGACTTAACTTCAATATACTGAAATTAGCAGTTTGACTTTCTTTAAATTGATAACATCATAAATATATTAGAAAGGAAATCACTAAGAAGCGACAGCAAAGTGTGTGTGTGTGTGTGTGTGTGTACGTGTATATGTGTGTGTGTGTGTATGTGTGTGTGTGTGTGTGTGTGTGTGTGCATCACCAACTAGCCCCAAGAACACCATTGCAGGCTTGTTTGTTCAGTGTTTGATTTGAAAGGGAAAACACAGCCTCCTTTCGTCAATGTAGATGGAGACATGGTTTTTAATCACAAGACAGACAACAGCTATACAAAGTAGAATAGTGATGCGTCATCAAGTCACCTCACATACAAGCAAGTACACAAAATCTCGTAAAGTCCACACACAAAACTTTATTGCACAGGTGCACCAGTGGTAATTTTGTCTTTCAACTAATTTTCAAGGATTTAATAGTTGCTCCCTGTTCTCTGTCTCTGTGGAGCGGACTCCTGGCGACATAGAAATAACCCCTGTTTTACAATGTATTTTGTGGTTACTAAATATGAAATTTTAATTTAATCAAAGCTCAGTGAATCATGGTAAAGGCAACATGTCAAATCTGAAAGATAATGGCAACATTCATGCATAGCAGTCTGAATTCCAGCCTGTAGAAGTTTAGAATGTTCAGAAAAAGTTATACTAGTGCATCATTTAAATGATACTGAGAAGACATCAATGTTTTCAAACCTACCCTCATCTACATTCATGGGACAGTAAGAACCTACAATAACTACTGTACCATCGTGTATTCTGCCTCTTGGCTGTGTTAGCATGCTTGAATGTTTCTTAGATGTAAACCTGTTTAAACAAACATTACTGTCATGTCTGCTTAACATGCTGTTCTGGCAACTCAATGGTTAAATTTTACTCAGGTAACTGCTGGTTCCTTGCATCTATCGGAGCTCTGACATTCCAGAAATTAATTCTACAACAAGTAATGTCTTTGGAACAAGAGTTTCAGGAGGACTACTGCGGGATTTTCCACTTCAGGGTAAACCAGCAAATATTGCCAACATCATCCAAAAGTAGATTCTGATCAATTATATACATCTCATTTTGCTATAACCGTCTTCCCACTCTCAACTATTCAGTTTTGGAGGTTTGGGAAATGGGTGGATGTTGTCATTGATGACAAGCTACCAACAATAGATGGCAGACTAATCTTCGTCCGTTCCAAAGACCCAACTGAATTCTGGCCCGCTTTGCTGGAGAAAGCCTATGCCAAGTACGAAAAACATTGCATTTCTCAGTCACACAGTCATAGTTCTCATAGTCTCAGAGTGACATTGATCTAACTTTCTGAAAGCTTGTGAAAGTAATTTAACACCTGCTGTCAGGGTGTGTGGTTCATACGCAGATATGAATGCTGGAACTCCTGCTGAGGCTTTGGTGGACTTCACTGGCGGTGTCCACATGTGCATCAACCTCACAGATCCTCCTCCGGACCTGTGGGAGCTGATGTTTAGAGCTGGACAATCTAAGTCCCTGATGGGCTGTGGGACTCCTCAGGGGGTAAGCATTTATTTACCACACAAAACCACAGAACTGAAACCATAATATCAAAGCAACTCAAAGCTTAGATCCTAGAGCACTAACTAAAATGGAAGGATAAATAGACCTTCTAACTCCCAACATTTTATCTTGTCGTGTCAGGAAGCTGAAATCATTATAATGTAGCTTTGTTTCATTTACAGTTAAGATGTTGAACACTCCCTTATATGGACTTCAGATTCCAGAAAAAAGAGTATTGGTTAAGGCAGGAACATTATGTGTGTGTTACACCTGAGGGATGATTTGATCAATATCTCTACTTAAGACATATATTTTTTCAGACTCAATCGTCTCAATGTCTCCTAATTCTATCAAAAGCTATTTACTTTAGCATCCATATTTCAAAGCAACTGTTGACACAGAATTGGGCCCCTTTTTATTTTCAGTACATTATTTTCGGGCTTGTGCATCAAAATGGGTGTGTGTGGTCCCAGGTTAATTTAGCTTAGGCCTAATGTTATTTGGGAAGCTCAATTCAGTTTTCACTCATACAAGTTGTTAGCTCATATATTTCAGAACTGTACCTTCAGTATATGTGGAGTTTATCAATGCCTGTATACCTCCATCTTGTAGGAGACATCTGCCAACAATGTGCTGCCAAATGGATTGGTCCAAGGCCATGCCTATACTGTCACAGGTGTGAAACAGGTAAATAGTCATATTTGCATTGAAGGCATGGCAGCATACAGAATTCTGTGCTTGTATAAATATCGATGACACTTTGCTGCTGATTGCTCGTCAGTTAATGAGCCAAGGGAAACTCTTTAACCTGGTGCGTTTGTGGAACCCGTGGGGCCAAACAGAGTGGAATGGAGAGTGGAGCGATCAGTAAGTATGACACTCACCAAGCAAATGTTTTATGAAGACTGATAAAGAAGTTATTTTCTCATCACTAAATAACATGTTGCTGATCATTGTCACTGTAATTGTTTTTGTTATTCACGTATGAAGAGATTGAGGATATTTGAAACAGACAAAACGCTGTATTCGCTCTATTCCTGTCTTTTATAAGTTAAAATGAAAAGTGAAACACAGGTACAAAAGTCAAGTTTTGACAGGTATAAAAAGTCAATGTGGCTAAATACATGTAGATCTAAGTGATTAATACCTTGGGGGCAGTTGTAATGTGTTTTATATCAGTGAATCTATGTCATTACAGTTATATTGCTTTTCCCTCTATCTAAATGAACAACACCAAAGCGTTTTAGTTATCTCAATCAATTATTTTACTTAATTCTCAAACAGTAGTTAAAGTTAAAATGATGTTTTTAGTTCATGTATCATTCAGTATTCAGATACATCTTTACATTCTGTCAACAGAATGTTTCTTATACCATGGAGAGCATTGATTCATCTTTCCAGCATAACCACACTGTCATCTGCTGGTGCAATAGCAGCTCTACAAGCCTGCATGTCCTGCCTTGCTGAGGATATTTAAAACACTACTCCACTGATAAAGTGAATAAAGTAATTGGACTCAATGGATAAACTATAGAAAATTTTAAAAAGTAATGCAAACCCCCAAATCTTGATTTATCCTGACTGTTTGGACATAATCCCTTTTAAATACTTGCTGCTTTCGGACAAGCGATTTAATAAATAGGGTTTCACCATTAGGAATATACTGTTTCAGTCATTCAGTTGTGCATTACTAGCATTAATGTAAAGAGAGTATGGAGAATTGCAATCTTAGGTGTACTGTGTTGTTTTGTCAGACATAAATACATATATTCGATAGATATATATAAACATCTTTTTTAATGGTATTTTAATCAAGGGTCAGATTTGTCAACTATGTTGTATCCTACGTGTGTGTGTGTGCATCTTTTTGGTAAAATTCATAACTATGTTTCTTTCGTCCTCTGTCATTGTCAAACTGTCACTAAAGTTCACCTCTCTGGCAAACTGTGAGTGCTAAGGATCGTGACATGTGCCTTGCAATGAGAGATGATGGAGAGTTTTGGTAAGTATGATGTAGGTTCTAATGTTACATTATAGTTTGGGGTAATTATGTACTACTGTGTTGATAAATGAAACAAAGTTGTATGAGTGAAAAAAACTGTACAGTTTATCAGGCACTATGAGCATATACTCTCTGAGCAGTATATTTTCTCTCCAAGAGAGCCATTACATTATTGAGTAAACTTTGAAACATATCTTACATATGTAAATAAATAATTCATGTATGCAGATTGCATTTGAGCTTGTTACCTCAAGTGACAAAATAAATCGTTATTTTTCTTATAGATCAAGAAAATAAAATACTAATTCTATCAATGATGATAATTAACTAAATCAATTTCTGATTTGGACAGGATGTCCCTGGAATACTTCTGTAAGCACTACAGTGATCTTGACATCTGCTGCCTGTGTCCAGACTTCCTTGATGGAAGCTCCTCATGCCATTGGCAGACGTCATTCTACGAGGGCAGATGGGTTGCAGGAACTACGGCTGGAGGATGCATGAACAGCATTGGTACTTAACAAATATCTGCAAAAAAGCTTAACAGTTTCTGCACCTTACAGAGATACAGAGACAGTTTTACTTTTCTGCTCTGTATTGTCTAAAAGAGGCAAACATGACTCCAAAATGCAAACTGTAAATATAGAGACGAACATGGGATGGAACACAATAACAGCCACAAGACTGAAACAAAGAACTGGGCCTATTACATATTATTATTATTATACTGGGTCAGTTAAAAGATGTTTTATCACATTCCAATGTATTTGATGAATTTACAATTTCAAAATTTAGCATGAAATTATTAGCAAAGTGATAATCAAAATCTAAAGTCTGGAATGATTCATTGGCACAAACCAGACTCCATACACAAAAAGGGGAATTTTGCAATCATGAATGAACTGGCTGCAGTAAGTTTGTATTTCACATTTTGTCTCCTTGAATCTTCCAGAGAGCTTCTCCAGTAATCCACAGTATCGGCTCAAGATCGGCAAATTATTCAATGAATGTGCAGAGAAACAGGGTGAAAAAAACTGTCTGTTGTCTCTCATGCAAAAGCCCGACAAAAGGAACAGACGCATGGTCCAAAATCTCCACATCGGACTCACAGTATTTGAGGTAAGTTCTTGTTGTTTATCTTTTTCTTTTTTTGTTTGTTTCACATTTGGATTAATCTTTAAATAGTTAATTCATTGAACTATGTTGAAAATAGTTAGACAAAGATAAAAAATGAAATAAAATGAAATAGTTCTATGGGTTCAGCCATTACATAATCATCATGTTCAATGAACCAGTGGGAAAATAAATTCCATGACGTGCATGTGCTTTACTTATTTAATTTACTTCATAATGTCAAATGTTTTTTTGTTTTTTTTATCCCCAACACAAACTTCATTTTCCTCTGGTTTCATCCAAGCTGACCAAAGAAGTAAGTAACATTTCTCACAGATTGGCTGTGTATACTGGAGATTGAGCTGAGTTGCATAGAAATGAAACATATCCTTATTACAGTTGAGTGCACACAGAGGGAGGTTCCCAGCCTCTTTCTTTGGCAGAAACAGACCTGTGGCTCAAACTAAAAGCTACATGAACGCACGTGAGGTGATGGAGTTCATCATGTTGAAGCCTGGTGAATACCTGATCGTGCCATCCACCTTCAGTCCCAATGAGACAGCCTCCTTCATCCTGACCATCCTGTCCAAGTCCGAGACTCACTTGCAGTAAGTCAATCAAATCTCACTCGTTAGCTTTCAAAGTGTTGTTGATGTAAGGTTTATCTGTATATGCCACATAGCATATTCTACAAGCCATATGAAAAAATACGAAGGCGTGCAAATATGTACAAGGCCTGGACCAGACTGAACACAGTACATGCAAAGACCAAACTGATGTCAACATTCACTCTGATGTCTGATATGAAGCTGCTTTCAGAATTACTTGAGAATCTATGAATTTTCTGTGGAGTTTCTCCTGCCAGCTACTTAGTTAGAACTCTGGAGAATGTCTGAGTGAGCCATTGGAGAACAACGCCTGAGATCCGGAAAGTGGGCGGGTTGAGCGGCTGCTACGTTTGTCATGCGTGAAAGGCAACCTCCAGAGAAAGGACCCAATTTTCCGGGGATTCGCTAGAGTTTCTGTCTGAAAATGGCTTTACTGGCATAAGTTATTCTGGTGCAGAAACATAATTCATTCAATTGAGAAATAAATTCTGCTCTGTTTTTGTGAATTAACAAGATTGTTTAAAATCCTGCTAGAAGCTCTCTATCTAATTTAAAGACACAAGTATCTTCAATGTCTTGAAGCCAAACCAAAATCAAACAGGATGAAACTACACAGGTGGGAAATGTTTGCTCCAATGCTTTCTATTGTTTTTCTCATGAAAAAATCAAAATATGCTTATTCATCTAGAAAAACAGAACACATTTATTTTTCTCAAGAAAATTATTTCGAGAATTTTTTGGGTCATGAAAAAAGACAATTACTGTATTTTGTTAATCCAGAAAAAAACAAAGACAAATTATTTTCTCATGTGAATGTCTGTAGTTATTAATTACTGTATCTGAAAGTGTAACCCCTTACACTACTTGTTAGTGAAAAAAGTAATTACATTACAGCAGCCTTTAACTAGGTAGCCTTATGTGATAATTCCCTGCAATGAATTACTGACGACTCATGTTCTTCTTCTCAGTGAGGATTCTGGAGGTCATAACCACAGACACACGGAAACAGAAGAGGTGCACAAGATTTTTAAATTTACCATCTGTGTTAATATCATCTAGGTGTTGCTGCTTTGATCCATGTTCTTTACTGATTACGTTGATCGTCTATGACACATGTATACTGGTCAGTATATTAACTCATCTGGAACTGAACACCATCTTTTTCAGCACACACCAGGCAAAACTGACGAAGAGAATGACGACAATAAGAGAAAATTTTTCCGTCAATACTCTGACAAGGTAATTTAAGACAATAGAAGAACATTGTGAGAAATATTATTTGCTTTCTTGCCAAGAGCTCAATGAAAAACATATGATGTGTGATATGACATATTACATATAGTGTAGCAGTAACACCCGACTCCAATCTCTCACCCAGCATAGACTCCAAGAAGTTACTGCTCTTGGTTTAGATATATAACGTGTTAATTATTGAGCTTTGGATGTTCAGAGTAACAAAATGGATTGGGTTATTTTTTGAAAGTGCTGGTTACTTGTTTCCCCCAGCTTCAAATCTATGTGGTATCAATCAAACTCACAGTTTCAGCTGCAGTTGTGCACATGAGAACTTCTCTTTCACTTTTATGTGACCTTGATTACTTGCAATCTGTTGCATGTAAGAGCAACATTCATGCATGTGCCCTGTGTACCATATTGTTATTAGTATTATTATTGTTACTTTGACTTATTTTTTTGGATTTCTTTTCCAGTATGAAGAAGTGGACGCTGAGCAGCTCCGTGCTATTCTAAATGACCAAATCTTGAAAGGTTGGGAATGTAAAACTTTGCTCAAAAGTATTCTAATTATGTTTTGTAGCAAAACTTAGTTGCTGAGTTTTAGCCAAACTGAATCTCCTGCTATCTTTTGTTTTTGTTCAGGAGATCTGAAATCTGGAGGCTTCAGCATCGATGCCTGTCGCAGCATGATTTGCCTGATGGACGTATCCTTTGATGTTTATGCTGCACTAGAATGGAGTGATTTAACCTGTTGGCCCTTTTGTTGATTTAACAGTCATGAATAGTTTTAAAGGTCAGGTGGAGACATGACACAGCATGTGCTGGTTTAATAACTTAATGTCGGGTTAGACATCCGTCACAGGCACACTGAATGGTGAGGAATTTCTGCGTCTGTGGAAGAGGGTCAAAGAGTACAAGGTAAAAGGACCCAACAACTTGTACAATATACTTATTACATCACTACTCTAATGAAGGGTTGGGATGCATCTTGATTTAAGTCCTGAACGGTTTGTGTCCTTCTTGAATACCTCATAAGACAGTTTTTTTCTTTACACAGGACATTTTCTACCAAAAAGATGTTTCACAAACAGGAACACTGTCGCTGAATGAGCTCAGGAATGCCATCATGGCCTCAGGTGAATGATAAACTTGTTCTCTTTGTCTACTGTGGTGCACAAAGACAGAAAATACCGAAATAATTTTTTAATGCAAAGCAATGCACGATATATGGAAAGTCTATCATCATCGTGAGTCTTTATCTCCTCTGTCTCTCAACTGACATCTCTGACTCCAGTTCAAAAGCTTATTTGTTCGTAAATGTGTGTGGAGCTGGAGAAGATGGTGTCGTGCTCTGTTTCGTTTGACGCAGTTGGCACCGTGCACAGCACGAATGAGAGAGACACAAGAGATGATGTAAAATACTGACAGAGCTACTAAAAACTGTTAAAAAAAAGACTCTAAATTGATACTGTAAGTAGACTTAGTGTAGCTGTGCATGGCTGCCTGGGTGTCTGCACCTGACTTTGTGGCGCTGCAGCTGGGCTGTGCACCTTCTCCTGGCTGTGAAGCTGTCCTTGGTCTCTGCGTCAGTAGCTAAATACTGTTTATGTTTATTTATCGCAAGTCATATCGCCATCGCAATATTAAACAACTTTTTCGCATATAGCATGTTTTCCTAATATCGTGCAGCCCTGCTATATAACCAGGGGCCAAATAAATAACATATCTACAAGATGTGGGAGACTTACACAGGGAGAAGGGTTTCACCATTTTTCCACCAATTTCTTGTGCTTTCAAATTAAGTGTTTTATTATTAATATTGTTTACACACTGGGAATGCCATTAACTGCGTTGCTTATATATCGCAAAATACTGAATCTGCAGTTGTTTTGTTTATTTATTTGTCAAATTATGTGTTTTACTTCTCACTGAACGGTCAGCAACACAGACAGTCTTAAGGCTGTTAATATATGCACAGCACATTATTTTCATTACAGTAATATTTTGGACTGCATTACTACAAATAGTCCCAGATACTGAATTACCTTGTTAAACCAAATGTACACCCCAGCCTTTTGCAAATATGCTGCCCCCTAGAGTTTGTGTTATGAACTAAACAATTTTTATGACCTACTCATTCTCCCATTCACTGTGGTTGTGTTCTATTGAAATGTCCTGTTGAAATACAACAGTATGATAGCGTTATCAGATAAGAAATAATCTGCAGCAGAATCAGTAATGAAAATAATGAAATATGTTCTGAGCTCTTGTCTGATGTCTGTTGTTCAGAAAAGAGAGTCAACGATGACATGCTGAATTTGATGGCTCTGCGCTACGGTTCCTCCGGACAATTGACACTGGAGAGTTTCATCTGTCTCATCCTTCGCTTTGAGTGCATGTCCCGTAAGTACATTTGGACAGCTGATGACAGTAGACACACTGGAAGTGGGTAAATAAATCCTTAGATGTCTTCTTTTTTCTTCATTTTGATTGTGTGTGAGTGCTGCCTACAACAGATTGTGCTCCTCATCGGAGTACAATACTCATTTCAAACACTTTTCAAAAAGCAAAAGAGCTTAGATCTCTGCAGCAGTCTAACATGTACTAGCTGAGGCAGGTTTATCTTCAACAGAAATATAGTCCAATGAATGAAACAAAAAACAAAACGACTTCCAAACTGTATGCTAATGAACTGAGAGTGACGATCCTCAAAATAGACGGATATGGTACAACTGAAGATCTGGATGTAGAAGGAAAAGAACAGAATTGGAGCTGCAACATTGTCACCATGATAATTCTGCTACCTTAAATACATTTTTGCGATCGAAAATAAGTGTGGAACAAGATGATAACTTAGTTAGTCATTCTTTGCACTAAACGTGGATTGTCTCAAATTCAGGCAGCTCACTCACAGTAGACAGTGAACTCACTTGTGTATTGTGGAAATTCCAGCAGGGTAGTGTTGTCCCAAATTAAACAGGGTGGTTGTTGAAATGACAATCCCAACATGTGACTGTGATTGTCTTTATATACCTCTCCATATTTAACCTTTGTGTGTTTTCACCTATGTTGAGTCCTAATGTCAAACATACGGATTGTTGAAACCCACCAGCGAGTGTGTCAGTGGGGTATCCTGAGTTAAGGGCTGAATGGATGTGAATATCTTTAGGTTACGTGAGGGCAGAGGTGGGAAACCTTTTTTCTTTCGAGCCACCTCAATTTTTGTTAATTATTAACACATATCACACTTACTAACTTACATCTTTTTGCTCAGGTGTCCGTAACCTTTTCATTTAGGTGCACCAGCACATAATTTGGGTGCACCCAGAGATAACATACACCATAAACCATTTCTCAATTGTTAAGAATTTTCAACATGACATTTGACATTTGTGATGGTGTTTATTGTTAACGGTTAAATTGAGCACAGGTCAGCAGGAGTGTGGAGGGAGGACACCCATACAGGAGACTCTGACAAACAAACCGGTGCTTCTGCTCTGATCCTGACTCTGTGGCACTAATCTTTTGGCATTGGCGGCCCGTCGTGGAGATCCTCTATTCCCACTTTGTGTTGCCACTGTTGACATTTACCACCTTGTTCACTGTCTGAATCTCCCTGTGTGATTGAGCGAGTGTCAGCCCGGGGCCTGTTTATGTGAGTGCAACCTCTGCCTCACTCCCAGACTCAGAGCCGAGAAGAGAGGCGACCTGCTCAAATACACATACACACCAATTGACATTGTCTTGTCTCGTTTCTTTTCTGTTTTTAAATGTATTCATTGATGAATTACGTTGCGGGCCAGATCAAACACTCTGGTGGGCCACCATATATAGCATAGCATATATAAATATATAGTTCAATCTTCCTCAGCAGCCCAATAACTTTCATTATGTCCCTTTACCATTACCAGACCACCACTGGGTGTGTTATAAACATGTCGATTGCATTTTATTGGCTGTGATTATTTCACATGAAGTGAGAGCTAACAACACGTTGATTCTTTCTCAATAGGAATGTTCAAGCAGCTGTCTGATGGATTGGCCATGACTCTTAATGAATCAGAGGTAAAACAAGTTCTACGGAGTTCTTAAATATATTTTGGAGTATTTTGAAATGGTTTTATCTTTTCATAACTGGCACAGGTGTTGATTTGAAAATATCTTATTGAAAACCACCTTTGTTTCAAACACAATTCCACTTTTGTTTCTACAGGACATTTTTAATTCTCTGTTATGAAGTGATGACGATTTTGAGCATCTAGCACATGAATAATCTATCCTATGTTTATTTACAGTGGATGCACCTTTCCATGTACACTTAACCTGACAGAGACGATGAGCTGCAGGACTCATTTGGAACAACTGCAGCACATGATGTGCAAATATAATTAATGGGGCAGCAGTTACTCAGTCCATTAAGATATGGGTTAGGGTTAGGGTAAAATGTATTTCCCCTTGTGGGATCAATTAAAGAAGTTTAAGTTTAAAAAAAAGTCATCTCTTTTGCAAATTAGCAGTTCTATATTTTAAGATATGCTACTTATTCTCTCGCAGTTTCACAGTCATTCTTTAGGAGTATGTTGCCATTCTAACTCTGAACATGTTAGTCTCCCTGAATGGTTACTGTTAATTTTAAGTGGGTTACTGTATTTTCTGATTTACTATTAGGCCTTGCAAAAATAATGTTGACCTCAACTTTGGTTCAAACTTGCATATCTCAAAATTTAGAGATAAAACCTGGTTCAAAGTGTGTATCATTGGTACCCATCAAGCCATATCACTTTTTGTGATCCTCCACCTTGCTCTTTGACATTTAAACAGGAATATGAAATGAATATTCTATTAGCAACTCGTGTAAACAACTGAATCAAAATAACGCCTTGTTCTGTATAAGACATTGTTAAGGTCCACAGTCGGACTGTTGGTGTCCATGTCGTCTCTGATGGTTTTGAGTATAATGTCATGAATTCTATTGGACTGATTGCCACAGATGGGGAATTAGCCAACATTAATATAAGATGGTGAGTAGGGTAGATGTAATACCAACTAATTAACAGCTTTTTATCAATATTAATTTGAACCTGTTAGCATACAGTAGTTAACTAGTACAATGCTGCCTAGCGCAACTACTGTGTCTGTCAAGTGTTGTGAAATCTAAGATCTAGTCTCTTGGATTGAATGTGAGTAGAATTATTTTATATGTGGGGTATAGCACTTTCAGTTGTTGGTGGGAGTTTTTGATTGAATTTTACCATATTATCCAGTTTTAGTGTATGAACAGTTCTGTCATCTTTTAGATTCCTTAAATATCTAAAGATATCTTGAAATGTGGAGGGTTTCTTTAAATGGATCAAGAAAATAAAATTTGGTGACGATGCATTGCCTTCTGATCAGTTATTTGTGTCCTAAATAAAACATATGCAGACCCTTTAATTTTTAGTGCACACAAGTAAGAAACGTATCTTTCTGTATATGTATGCTCTGCTAATGTGGGTGCTATTAAAAAGTGCAGTAAAGGATCATTGAGGAAGGAAACATCAGGACATGTTATGTTGAATTTCTATTTAAATCTGCTCCAAGAGAGGAATACAACCAACAGTTTATTAGTATACATTTATTAATTATAAGAATAGCAATACAGTTGAAATTATAATCAAAATTTCAGTACATCTGTCAGATTTATTTCTGATTCACTTTTAATAATGATTGAACACAATTGTCATTTATAATAATTTATTCCCAAATCCCAGTATGTTTATCCCCTTAGATCATCACTTTTAACTGAATATTTTGATTCCTATGATTGTTTTGTCACATAGTTTTACAACATGAAGAGATAGATTGAAGCGCAAATTAAGCAGCTGACAAATGACTTCAGGCATGTATAAATAACATTGACCATAATGTTAATGAATCACACTCAAGACATAAGAATTACTGAACAATGTAATAATTATTGATTATTGATTAGGATGCTAAAGTCACAACATTATTTAGGTTAGTTGTAGCATTTGAAGCACGGATGTCAGCACAGCAGCCAGGAATATTGAACTTGAGTGTAGGGCGAGCTCTGTTCCCCCATTTGTGGTTGTACCTGGAAGAAGCCAAAAACATACAGGGTGAAATTACTGATGATTGAAAAACATACTCAACTGCATGTGATGGGACAAATACAAGGTCAGTTTAACATTATCCCATGCATTAGGTCTGTAACCTTGTGCTGTAAATTTGAGGCAAGTTGTAGTTGCTCAACATTTGTTCCTGGAGTAGGTACATTAGATTTAATCTAGTTAGAAGGTGCATTGTATTATGATACAAAACCAAGGAGTGCAACTTCATCTGTTGTCAAACCGCTGCCATACATCATGAACTTGAGGTGAATTCTCATTGTGTATTAACGAGCACTACATCTTGTGGTACATCGGTTGTTTATACGAGGTGACATTATTGTCATGAATATTGTTGCTGTCACTGAAATGACAACACAAACACAGACTGGGTTGCACATGTGGCCTCTTGTGGCTACAGGATCAGTGTTGGCTGGTCATTAGTCATTAGTAAGTATGCCACTGCTTGTACAGAGTTTATATTATTAAATGTAATCAGTTGTTTTTGTGTAATCTTGCTTACAAACAAACAACATACAAACCAATACTTAAGGACTTTGCACATAAGGGGGTTAAACAACACAATAATGCAAAAAACCTGTTTTATATTATGAATCAAAATTTGTCATACCGGCAATGAAGACAATTTGCTACTCTGTGATATAACAACAACAGTTCTTGAAACATTCCCAGTGTGTAAAGACCTCCTGCTTCACGCCTAAATTCACTTAACGAACAAATAAACAAAGATGTTTCTTACCCTGTGTTGATGACACACTACTGGCTGATGCTGGTGTTGCAGTTGTTGATGCCGACAGTGATACAGATGATAATGTATTTGTCATGCTAGATGAGGTGGGCGGTGTGGTCGCGCTGACTCTGCTACTGACTAGGTTTAGACCCAGTCTATCCAGATCTTCCTGCAGCTGTCTGTTCACCCAGTCATCAACCACAGGGTCCTCAGCAAACAACTGGAGATCCGTGACATGAGAACCCATGAGGTCTTGGACTGTAGGCACATCCAAATCCTGTAGAATTCAAACGAAACAGTGAAGAGAGTTGGTTTGATGTTTTTACACTCTGTACAATGACCAACAAGGAAAATGTCATAGGTTTAACAGAAAGTAGTTTCATGCCTTTTTCCTGGGGGGATAAACCATTTATAACAACCCAGTATGGATTTATAAATGGGCATTACATTTAAACCCTGGCAGCTTCAGGCTTTTTCCAAGGGTTGGCATAAAGTTCCCAAAAGTAAAATATTCATATGCAGGGTTACAAACATACCTGTCAGCCGGAGGTCATTTTCAAAGTGCCACAAGAGCTTTGATAAAACTTGCGAGCAAAGTAAACTTGCTTTGTATTCTTGAAAAGATGTTCGAAAAAATGTACAGATTGTACTTACACTTACAGGTTTTCCCTTTAAAGAGATACTGCATATTTAAATGTTTATTTTTATGGCTGTTCTTTGAAAAATTGAATTTATAAAAAATCCACAAGTTAAACATGGCTCATAACGACCACCTAGTGTTTCAATCTGTCTTGGACATTTCAGGGCATAATATGGTTTGAAACGTCTCTACATCATGATGTTTATATATTTGGGTGGGTGGCTCCCTGCCACCAACGACAGCTTGAGACGTGGTCAGGCAGTCAGAACACTATGGAGGCCAGAGTGGGTTAACCAGATACTACATTTGTGTCGTGTGTGCTTTAGCAAGACAATTTGTATGTCGTATGTGTGAGGGGTGGCGGTAGGTAGGTGTGTCCCAGCCCCACCTCCCAACACTGTGTTTTCAAAGAGAGACTTAGAGGTGAAGTTACACTTTAACAAGCATGCTTACTGCGATCACACTGGGGTCCAGGCTCTTAAAAGTGTTGACATCCATGTTGATATTCTGTTTTGACAGTGTTTTCACATCTGTCAGAGGTGCTCCACCTGACAGACAAGAGGGGAAAACAAGAAATTAGAGACATGACATAGAGATAGAGGATCAGTCATAAGACAGGTACCGTGCATTCTCACCTAAAACGGATTTAATTAAATTGTAAAAGATGGTGGGACTGCTAGGCTGTGTGCTGAAGGAGGTGTTACTGATCTCATACAGGACTTTCTTCTGGTCAGACGAACATGAAGCCACATTCAGTGTTCCGGCATTTCTGACACGATGGAAGGAGAAGAAGGCACCAGTGTTAGCTCTTACTTGTCATTCACAGTGGTTGTGCTTAGGCATCTTTGTGCTACAAGCTGACACCCACCTGATGCTTTCCGGGGTTATGGTCTTCAGTGTGCTGACATCCAACGAGCAAAGGTTAGGGCCAACAGTGTTGAGCACAGTGCTGTCCAGGGTGTTACCAGAGCTATTTAGATAACTTGTGATGATTGCTTTGCTCTAGAAAAAATGAAAGAAAACACTGTGATGATGAGGCTGCGTTATACTGCATCATGCTGCATAAGGCTATTTAATTCCTCTCCAAAGTTTTTTCTCTTTTTTTTTGACAGTCCTTGTACATTTTACCTTCTCTGCCTCCCATGATCCATCCTCATCTTTCATGAGCGATGCCAAAGTGTCGATTTTGGTGATGCTCCACTTGGAGATGTCGTCAATCGATGCTACACGTGACACTGAACCAAGGAATTGGACTTCATTATCCGAAACACCTGATGGGTATGCCTAAACACAACAGAATAAACAATGTGGAGTTACATATGGTGGTGTGTAAAAACACGTCATTCATCATGAATAGATATATCCCAGTCTACACAGCATATTAACATTATCCATGCTAGTGTCACTGTGACATGATAACATTTATATTAGGATAATTCAATTTAATAAAAACGTTATTGTGCCAAATCACAAAATACATTATCTCAATACTTTACATATTCACAATATTATAGAGAAGCCAAACAGTTCCCAAAGTGAGTAAGAATTGGCGACTGTGGAGAGAAAAAACTCCCTCTTAACTAGAAGGAACCATAAGAACCAGACTCAATGTGAGCGGCCATCTGCCTCAATCACCCAGAAAAATGGGAAAGGGAGAAGAGGTTGGTGGAAAAGAGGGGAAACTGGCTAACTCCATCGGAGAATGACTAATCCTTGCCTCCATCTTGGCAATACTTTTAATTCAACAGAATTACAAGTATTGGTATTGCTGAAGGAGGCACGACAACAATAGCATGTAAACCACTGTGAATTAGCAGGTGGGTTGCTAAAAGAGAGTGTGTGGACAGAATGAGGGTAAATATTGAGGGAAAATAGACTTGGTGGGAAAGAAAGCAACAGATTTAAGTGGGGATGAGGTAGAGCAGAAGCCAAAACACAAACACCAATGGAACAGGAAGTTATACAACACGCTCACCAATTTATTGATTTGTTGGTCAGTTATGTCTCTGAATTCAAAACCTTTTTTTTTCTTTGTGTAAGTCTGTAATTCTTTAAAAAATATATATGCCTTTTATTAAAAAGTCAATAATATACAAGATTAAGCCATTCAACCGTTCATGTATCAAATTTACCTGGTTAAGTTTCTTCAGAATGATTTTCTGGAAATCGTCATCATCCACTTTCTCGCAAATGGAGTTGAGATTGTCCTTCAGAACAGGGACGTCCAGGCAGTAGCCAAATTGCGTCTCATCATAGCCAAAGGGGAAGGAGGGATCACTCACTGTCATTTGGGTGATGTTGCTCAGGGTGCAGCCTTTTGTGAATAATTATAAGTTAGAAAATGAGAAAAACAAACATACACACCTGTTTTATACAGTATGTAGTTTTTTACGATACAATATACAGCTAGAGTCCAAGGTGACATCTTCAAAGTGCTTGTTTTGTCTGAAATCTTTGGTATCAAACTTGACTGGACTTCAAACTGGACTATAAAGATATAGATTTGAAGCAATAAAACCCACACCCACAATTCAATAGAGCAGACAGAGAGGTCTGATTCAGTTATCATCAAAATGTTACATTTCTCTCAATTAATTGACCTATTAATTCACTAATGAATCCAGCTCCAGTATCAGCAACAGCTTTGTAAAACAGAACACAAAAAAACTGAACCTTTACCTGCTCCCCGTTTTGCCTTGCGCGCACTTATCTGTTTGAACAGACGTTTGAGCTTCCTCTTCTTTGTCTTACTTTTCCTCAGTTTTGGCATAAATTTCTTGAGATACTGTCTCTTTGTTTTCTGCAAAAGAAAAAAAAAACACATAACATGACTTGATTTAATACAAAACATACAATGGATTAGATGTATCTTTGGTGTGGTAGTGTGGTAAAATGAATCAATAACATGGGAACAATCCGAGGTAGTAAAACACATACAGTTTTTAGATTTTCCCAGATGTTTTTTGTGAAATACAGAGGAAGGATCCCCAGGTCCGTCAGTGTTTCCTTGTTCCAGGTGTTGATATTTCTGCACAGAGAAGACACATTCTTACAGCTCAGCCTATTGCTTGGCTACTCAATTTATGCAAGAGGATTTATTATTTAATGAGTCCTTAAATATACATAAATAATACCTAAAAACAAAAGATGGTGATGATTTGCGTTCATTGGATTCAGAAAATGTTTTTTTCTATCAAAAATCAAATCACACAAAAAGGCAAACACCAGCAATGTGTTTGTACATCTCTCAACAGTTTCTGAGTCTCTGTTTGTGACGTTCAAATTTACATTGATCCTGCAAAATATATTTCTGTTGCTGGCATTTCCGTGAACTGCTTTGTATAAACAGCAGCAAGATGGTGCATGTGGGACAGACTCTAAACCTTGACTACAGCTGGCCTCATCAATAAGGCCCAGGACCCCATCACTGCACTGCTTAAATGTCCTCACCTGTGACTTTGGATTTTAAATTTCCCGCCAATAGCGGCCATATAATCATTAAAATTGTACATATCCACATTCATATTGTACTCATCTTTGT